CCGTAGGGGCTGTGATGAGGATTCGAACCTATGCGCTGGAGATATCCAGCGCATAGGTTCGAATCCTCATCATGGTTCCTACGAATTTTCGGTTGGAACAAGTTAAGTGAGAAGGTGGTGGAGGTAAAAACTGTCAGTACTGTAGTTTCATAGTGTTATATGACAGTACTGGGAAGACGGGACACCACAAGCACAGCTCTCACCCTTTAACTACACTAAGGTAAATATACACACAAACACTCATACAGATGGTGTATGAGTGTATAAACCACTTTTCACAGTTACACACACGAGGAAAAGACAGGGCAGATAAGAATAAACTGTTAACATGGGTGGTATGCAAACAAGGGGACAGAGGTGTTAACCGAGTCCCCTAATGAGCCACAGGGACGTTAGAAAGAACTTTTTCAGTGTCAGAGTAGTTAACAGATGGAATGCATTAGGCGGTGATGTGGTGGAGGCTGACTCCATACACAGTTTCAAATGTAGATATGATAAGAGCCCAGTAGGCTCAGGAATCTGAACACCAGTTAATTGACAATTGAAACGCAGGACAAAAGAGCCAGAGCTCAACCCCCGCAAGCACAACTAGGTGAGAACATGGGATTCGCTCTAGATTTTTTTAACTTGATCATGTTCCAAAATTAATTTTCACGTGCAAAACTGTGGATACATTTACTAATAAAAGTGATGACTTTTTATAGGGTAACATCTATGTATACACTACAACACTGTTAAGAGCCAGGAAGCTAGACAGTAAGCCACTTTCTAAACAGCAATGCTAAAGGACACAATGACAATAAAAAACTATCAGTAAGTACTGCGCTTCTCAAAATGAAATACTGTAGACAGTATGGTTAGTAAAATTATGATCAGAACTTTGAGCAACAAAGCTAACTTTTATCTTTAGGAATATAGTATATACAAAATATATCATTAATGTTGCTACATATTTGATGAAGACTCAAATAAGCATCTACAGATACAAATCTAAATAGAAACTATGCAAATACAATTTATTGTACAGTATAGTACTATGATTCTAGGATCTGGAATGCAAATATATATTGCACAGTGGAAACCCACTCAAACAACCCCAAGTGCACTGGTTGGATTTAATTCCTCGAGTAACATCGGTTCCAATGGAAAACAACACAACTTACCTGAACTAGAGTGAAGTGGTAAAATATGTAAAAAAGTATTACAAACATTATTATTTAAAATAAAATGTACTTTTTCAAATTGATTTGATGATCAAGCACATAACTGCATTCTAACCTTCGCACAAATATAAACAATAATTGTGTCCAAAAATTAGAATGATTAGTTGCAACAAACCATCAAACACAGTGAATGAGATCCAGATAAACAATTGTGTTCAAGCAGGTTTCACTGTACAATACTGATAAATGCAACAATTACAACAACAAAGAGAAAGAAGACTGGGGCTCAAGTAAGCAACTACTGTCAACAATCTAAATAACAAAATTATACACATAATTCCAGAATTACCGGCGAAGGTCCAGGTATACAAGTAGTGCCTGGCTACCATTAGAAAAAGAGAAAAATAACATTATTACTATTTATTAATACAGTTCTGTGATGTTAAACACTGACAGGAAACTTTAGTTTATCTCAAATGAAAGTTATATAGAATATTTGTTTAGTCAAAAGTCTCGAGTCCTGTGGAAAGAACAAACATTGTTGGTATTATTGAAAATATTTTCTCTTTCTGAACACTTTTAAACATGTTACATATAACATAAAACCAGATATTCATTCGTCAGATTACAGCAATCAAGGTAAGTATCTCCATCATAACCTTTCAAGAGGGAACAAATTTCCCATGTAATATACTAGTAGTATACTTCAGATTACAAACAAATTTCTATACAAAACAAAACAAAACAGAACCTGCAATAAACACAAATAACACTAAGTATGGATGAAAAACTGCTTTCTGAACAAGTCATTCAGTTGCTCCCATAGTCACGTTCCCACTCTTTCAGCCACAATAGATATCAGCTAAAATTAGTTTAACATTCATCAACCCCGACATAGTCGGTATCTTTTCAAACTGTACCACAGAGCCCCTATTGGAGAAAGGGGAATACAGGAGAATTCTTAAACCAACCATAAATAACCACAGAAGGTCCAGTCATCTACACGTAAATAACCTTCTCTATTCACTATTTTGCTAAAGGGGACCACGAAGTATTCCTGTGTTATTTCTATCAAATGCTAATTGACCATCTGGTTATTTCCCGTCCCCATCAGTAGGTGACCACTGGCTATGTACACACAGGCTATCTGAGGATCCACCTAGTTTTAATCCCAATGCACCCTCAAAAATGCATAGGGAAGGATGGACAAACAAGAAAGTAAGGAAACAACCGAGTGGATTGCTCAGAAAAGAGCATTTCATCTACACTCAAGTCTTATTTCTGAACTTAAACTACTAAGTTGCTCCTTCTGATAAATAGTAGTTGCCTTGGCCTGAAACGAGAAGGAAAGGAAAAATATTGAAAATCTAAAGGAACTAAACCTTCCTGTAGGGAGGAGTCTGAAGAAGCTAAGTAGAATAAAGTCACCCGAGCACGAGATGACCAGGCCGAGAAATCTCTTGCTAAGGTGTCGGTAAATGAGGGAAGGGAAGGGAAGGGAACTATCAGAGGGTAAGCGCCAAGCCTTTATGACTATATAGCACTGGGAAGGGGTCAGGATAAGGATTTGGGATGGGATGGGGGGAAAGGAATGGAAGGAAGGAAAGAGACATACCATACACTCATGACAGGGGAAGGATAAAGAGCGAGAGAACTTGCTGACCTTTCCTCGGATGCGTCGTACAAATCGTGGAGCCATGTAGTGAACGAGGAGATGAAAGGAAAGCGAGCACTCTGTCAAAGACCAGGACGGCTCAGGCGACGCATGAGCAGGCCGGAGGTGAAACAATGCACGAGACAGCTTGCGAAACGGCGCAGACGTAACATCGATACCGAAAGCAAGCTGAAGCGGCTCCGCCAGCGCCGCACGATACGAAGCGACAGTGTTAGGCATAAGATGACGGTCCTGAAACAACACGAGAGGAAGGACAGACCACCCGAACAGACAAGGAGCTAACACGACGAAGACGCAAAAAAGAAACGGAAGGACCGCCAGGAAAACTTCATACTGCCGCCGGGAAGAAGCCCTCAGGTGGGACACCAACAAGGAGGCCACCTGATCACAATAGAGATGATGATAGACTCGAGTCAAAAAAACCATACGCGAAGACTCGAGGAGAAGATCGAACAGCTACGTGAGTACCGGCCCGATCTGCTGAAAGAGGCGGAGCCGCGGGAAAACCCTCGGGTTCGGACACCGAGCAAAAAAGTATTACAAACATTATTATTTAAAATAAAATGTACTTTTTCAAATTGATTTGATGATCAAGCACATAACTGCATTCTAACCTTCGCACAAATATAAACAATAATTGTGTCCAAAAATTAGAATGATTAGCTGCAACAAACCATCAAACACAGTGAATGAGATCCAGATAAACAATTGTGTTCAAGCAGGTTTCACTGTACAATACTGATAAATGCAACAATTACAACAACAAAGAGAAAGAAGACTGGGGCTCAAGTAAGCAACTACTGTCAACAATCTAAATAACAAAATTATACACATAATTCCAGAATTACCGGCGAAGGTCCAGGTATACAAGTAGTGCCTGGCTACCATTAGAAAAAGAGAAAAATAACATTATTACTATTTATTAATACAGTTCTGTGATGTTGAACACTGACTGGAAACTTTAGTTTATCTCAAATGAAAGTTATATAGAATATTTGTTTAGTCAAAAGTCTTGAGTCCTGTGGAAAGAACAAACATTGTTGGTATTATTGAAAATATTTTCTCTTTCTGAACACTTTTAAATATGTTACATATAACATAAAACCAGATATTCATTCGTCAGATTACAGCAATCAAGGTAAGTATCTCCATCATAACCTTTCAAGAGGGAACAAATTTCCCATGTAATATACTAGTAGTATACTTCAGATTACAAACAAATTTCTATACAAAACAAAACAAAACAGAACCTGCAATAAACACAAATAACACTAAGTATGGATGAAAAACTGCTTTCTGAACAAGTCATTCAGTTGCTCCCATAGTCACGTTCCCACTCTTTCAGCCACAATTGATATCAGCTAAAATTAGTTTAACATTCATCAACCCCGACATAGTCGGTATCTTTTCAAACTGTACCACAGAGCCCCTCTTGGAGAAAGGGGAATACAGGAGAATTCTTAAACCAACCATAAATAACCACAGAAGGTCCAGTCATCTACACGTAAATAACCTTCTCTATTCACTATTTTGCTAAAGGGGACCACGAAGTATTCCTGTGTTATTTCTATCAAATGCTAATTCACCATCTGGTTATTTCCCGTCCCCATCAGTAGGTGACCACTGGCTATGTACACACAGGCTATCTGAGGATCCACTTAGTTTTAATCCCAATGCACCCTCAAAAATGCATAGGGAAGGATGGACAAACAAGAAAGTAAGGAAACAACCGAGTGGATTGCTCAGAAAAGAGCATTTCATCTACACTCAAGTCTTATTTCTGAACTTAAACTACTAAGTTGCTCCTTCTGATAAATAGTAGTTGCCTTGGCCTGAAACGAGAAGGAAAGGAAAAATATTGAAAATCTAAAGGAACTAAACCTTTCTGTAGGGAGGAGTCTGAAGAAGCTAAGTAGAATCAAGTCACCAGAGCACGAGATGACCAGGCCGAGAAATCTCTTGCTAAGGTGTCGGTAAATGAGGGAAGGGAAGGGAAGGGAACTATCAGAGGGTAAGCGCCAAGCCTTTATGACTATATAGCACTGGGAAGGGGTCAGGATAAGGATTTGGGATGGGATGGGGGGAAAGGAATGGAAGGAAGGAAAGAGACATACCATACACTCATGACAGGGGAAGGATAAAGAGAGAGAGAACTTGCTGACCTTTCCTCGGATGCGTCGTACAAATCGTGGAGCCATGTAGTGTTCTGGTTGAATGTCCAAACTCTCTGGATTAAGAACTGGGGCAGGAGCTGGGTGTTGCATAGAAAGGAAAGCCAAGATAGACTTGACTTCACTGTCATAGGATGAATCAGCTAATGATTTGCCTTTAGAAGCTAACCGCATGGCTGCCATCCAACGAGCATACTGTTCTTCCTATAACAAAATATCAATTACATTTATATAAAGATATATAATATTTAATAAGAAAATGTGTCAATTGAAAGTATTGAAATATATAATTTTTTCATGTATATACTCAAGACATACAATTAATGAAAATAACTTTAAAATTATGAACTTTTAAACCCCCCTTTCATCGAAAAAGAAGGATCTTCATAAAATGTAAGAAGTTTAATATACAGGTAATTCAAAATTTCCTTACACTATTTATAAAATTTACATTTTTAAGCATAATTCATAATTTAAAGTATTATTAATATTTTGCTAATAAGATTTGTCATAAACAATGTTAAATATCTTTCTAGTGTGATTAAGCTAAACTATGATAACAGTTTACTGGTAAATGCTAAGGAGACAGGCAAGTCGAACCCTCTTCCGTGCTGCACATCCTTCCTCAGGCATGTGATCTTGGGAAACAAAATTATGTACAAGATCAACAGTGAGATTCATGACAAACCACCCTTCATGTTGATTAGTTCTCTCCCTCTCAACCTGAACCTAGATCTCTTACCCTCTCAACCTGAACCTAGATCTCTCACCCTCTCAACCTGAACCCAGATCTCTCACCCTCTCAACCTGAACCCAGATCTCTCACCCTCTCAACCTGAACCCAGATCTCTCACCCTCTAAACCTGAACCCAGATCTCTCACCCTCTCAACCTGAACCCAGATCTCTCACCCTCTCAACCTGAACCTAGATCTCTCACCCTCTAAACCTGAACCCAGATCTCTCACCCTCTCAACCTGAACCTAGATCTCTCACCCTCTCAACTTGAACCCAGATCTCTCACCCTCTCAACCTGAACCTAGATCTCTCACCCTCTCAACCTGAACCTAGATCTCTCACCCTGCAAAAGAACTAAGACAATAACAAAGTACTTACTGAGGTACACCTTATGATATAGTCAGTCATGCCATCTGATGCAGGAACTTCCAACTTGATACCATAACGCTGTTGTGAAATGTTGACATCTGGAGTCACCTCACAGCCGCGGAGATTAATCTTTTCAATGGGGTCTTCCTTGGTGCTCTCATTGTTTTTATAATATCGCAAGCTCATATCCTTACATGTAAAATAATACTGCTTGAATCCTTTCAATGTGAACCGACGTGGCCTATAAAATATAAGACCAAAATAATGTATACAAATTATATATAATGTATACCTGTATATTCAAACCTTTTATATTGTGTTAAATATTTATATAAATATTTTCATATAAGAACCCAACCAACCAGGGACCAGAACCAAAACCTGGCCCCCTTCACATGAGGCACAGGGAGCAAATTGGCATTTCGACATTTCACCGGGAAATCATCCAGAATAACTCCGCAAACAATGCAAAAAACAAAAGAAAAACACAAAACTAGCTAGAACCCGATAGTACCGAACAGTATCAGCTGTTGGCCTGACACTCTTCATACCTTACCTTGTAATGATTTCAGGGCTCAACGTTCCTGCGGCCCAGTCCTCGACCAGGCCTCCTGGTCGCTGGACTGGTCAACCAGGCGGTTGGATATGGCTGCTTGCAGCCTGATGTGTGAATCACAGCTTTAAAAGCGTTTCAAAAGTTTCAAAGCGTTATATGACAAAGAGTGCTGGGAAGACGGGACACCACGAGCGTAGCTCTCATCCTGTAACTACACTTAGGTAATTACAGCTTGGTTGATCATGTATCCTTTGGAGGTATTTATCAAGTACTCTCTCTCTTGAATACTGTGAGAGGTCAGCCAGTTATGTCCGTTATGTGTAGTGGAAGTGTGCTGAACAGTCTCGGGCCTCTGATGTTGATGGAGTTCTCCCTCAGCGTACCTATTGCACCTCTGCTTTTCAACGGGGGTATTCGGCACATCCTGCCATGCCTCCTGGTCTCATGTGGTGTTATTTCTGTGAGCAGGTTTGAGACCAGCCCCTCTAATATTTTATTATTAGCCCCACTCAAACCATCTATGAGATCACCTCTCAAATAAATACAGACTGCAACAAACCAACAAACAAGGAAGATAAGGAGGGAAACAGGGAGCCACTGGGGCTCTTCCAGCTGGATGAAACCTACAAAAGACAACAAAGACAGATAGTGGCAAAACAAGCACCAGGCAATCTCATACCACTGCAGCAATGAAAGACACAGGTGGGACACCAACAAACCAGCCACCCACTTGCCATACAAACTGCAACAGACAAGTCAAAAACTCCAGATGTGTAGAGCAGAGGTGGTCAAAACCAGCAAATATCATTGTTGGGCTGATCTGCTGAAAGAGGCAGAGCCATGGGAAAATGTAAAACATTGTGTTATTTTCTGTTGCCCAATCAAAAACTTTATTAATATCAGCTTGTAGTTTTTCAATGTCTTCCACTGAAGTAATTTTCATGCCAATTTTTGTGTCATCTGCAAAAGAAAATTTGAAGCTGTAACTTGTATTTGTTTCTATATCCGATATGAAAATATGGAAAAGCAGTGGTGCAAGGACTGACCTGAGGTACAGAGCTTTTAATATGCTTGGAATCTCTTTTATTTGGATGACTTTGCATTTGCATTTGGTTTGACAGAAAATTTAATATCCATTACCCTAATTTATCTGTTATTCCTACTGACTTCATTTTGTGGTCACATTTATTAAATGTCTATGCAAAGTCCATGTATACCACATCTGCATTCACTTTTTTTCTTTTAATGCTTCAGTAATTTTGTCATGATGGTCAAGTAGCTATGAAAGACATGATCTTCCAACTCTAAATCCATGCTGACCTAGGGTTTGGAGATCATTGGTGTCTATAAAACTAGAGAACTGACGCCTGACCACTCTCTCAATTTTATTACGTGGGACACTAGTGTGACTGGTCTCTAGTTCTTAGCCAATGCTTTGTTGCTCCCTGCCTTGTGTAGGGGAAACATATCTGCTGGTTTAAGTGTTTCTGGTATCTTCCTTGTGTTAATGCCTTTTCTTCATACTACACTGAGTGCTTGTGCTACTGGCACTTTGCATTTCTATATAAATATTGAATTCCATGAGTCTGGACCCGGGGCTGAGTGCATGTTGTCAATTTCTCTTTCAAAATCTGCCATGCTCGTGTTTATATCAGTTATATTTTCAGGGGTTTGGATATCAAGCATAAAGGCCTTCACTAATTTCTTTGTTGTCCTCTGTGTATGAACCTTCACTCATAAGTATAGGTCAAATACTGATGGTTTTTTATTTTGATTTTGCATACATGAAGAAATATTTTGGATTTTTCTTGATCTCTTGTATAGCTTTCTGGTCTAATTGCATTTCTTCAATCTGATATGATTGCTTCAGTCTCTGCTCTATTTCTTCAATCTCCCTCTTTAAATTATTATGGAGCTGGCAAAATGAGCTAGATGCCCCTTTATGGCAGTGTCAAGGGGGCAAACTGAAAGGACTGGTGTGTACCATGAGCAAAACCATCTTTCCGTAGTGCTTAGATGTAAAATCTAGCAGAAAAGGAACAACAGGAAGCACAATGGCCTGAGAATCTGACTCGAACAAAAAAATTTGGACAAAAACAACAAATTATTAATAGGCCAACACAAGATGGCTACTGCAGACAGAGCTTGAGACATTGCATCCTCTGGAAAGAGGAAAGGTGAGAAATGGTGAGGAGGGGTGGGGCCAAGTGCAAACACATCTTGTAGTCATCTGCAATGAGAGCCCAGGACAGCACAGGTACCTGCACTTGCCCATATCCTGGGGTAATGCCAGAGCAAATAGGCAGTCATCAAGTGGAGAAAAAAAAAGAGAGAGAGTGCCACTCAAGAAAACCTGAAAGATGGAACACACCACCTGCCAATCCAGGGTGTGGGGCCTGACAAAACACTTGCCAAGTCCCCAGGTAAAAGAGAGGGGATGTCAACTAGCCAGGATGAATCCAGAATCTCACACCACAGCCAATAAGAGAAGATGGACTCATGGTCAAACAAGAGAATGGGGCCATCAACAAAAAGAGGTCCAAATTCTGCATTAGGTACTGAAGCAAATCTGCACAAGTCACCGAAGGAAAAACATAGCAAGACAGAACCCTCTGAAAATACGATGATCCCGAGGCACCAAACGGGACCTGCAACCAAACCTGAAGGAGCAGCTGAACAATCATACTCATACATAGGAGCCCTTCAAACTCTCACAAGGTGAGTGCAGGCTCGATGGGCTAAACCAATCATGCCAAAGTCCTGTGAAGGATTACCAGGGCCTAAAGATAGCTAATTAAGCAGGACACCAAGGCACTGAGGTTACTTGCTGGAAGACAAACACCAACAAATCCAAAACATCTATGCACTGACTGGTGTCCACAGTGTTGTATAAACAAGCATGCGAGACCTAGCAAAGCCCAGCACAACCAACAGAATGCCCCCAGCAAAGGGGCTCAAATAGAGGAATAAAAAATACGTGAATAGCTCTAAGCGAGGCTCTTCACTCCAGTGCCCTGGCCTCTCGAGAACAAATTCCTGAACACACCAGAGAAGATATCTCTGTCAGTGCAAGGGCAGTGCTAGTGGGCACGCTGGAAAAGAACCCACACAGCCTGCAGCTTGAAGCACAACAATGCCTAGCTCACCTAACAAGCTTGATTGAAAACATGCACATGGAGCAAAATACTAAAATCTAAAACAAAGAACAAAGTAAATGGCCTATGCAGAAACAAGTTCAATTATGGCTGGCACTTAACTTGAAGCAGAGGAGCTTGAAACATCTGAAAGGCTCAGAGCAATACTGTCCAGCAAACATAAGCCTAAGAACTGATCAGGAAAGATGGATACATGTGGATACAGGCTGCCTGATTGTGGCATTTGGTACTACAAGTTTTGTGCTAATTTTGAACAGTTCTCTTGTTCTGTGCAGTTGGAGATGTTTGGCAGTTACAAGGGTTCAATCTTATTAACCATCAAGCTCCAGTTGCCTGCAAAGCTTTGCCAATTTTCTGGATGTTTTCTCTGGTGTGGTGGCAAACTGTCACTCACTCTCTGCACCCCGGGGAGGGAGCCGGTCGGCCGAGCGGACAGCACGCTGGACTTGTGATCCTGTGGTCCTGGGTTCGATCCCAGGCGCCGGCGAGAAACAATGGGCAGAGTTTCTTTCACCCTATGCCCCTGTTACCTAGCAGTAAAATAGGTACCTGGGTGTTAGTCAGCTGTCACAGGCCACCCCCTCCTCCTGGGGGTGGAGGCCTGGTCGAGGACCGGGCCGCGGGGACACTAAAAAAAAAAAAAAAAAAAAAAAAAAAAAGCCCCGAAATCATCTCAAGATAACCCCTGAGGGGGAAAGAAGATGGGGAAGGGGAAGAGGTGGGCTAGGTTTTGGCTCCGATTCCCAATAAGCCAAACAGAACTCCTGTATTTAATGTGAACCATTTGCATGGAGCAATCAGGGAGCCACCAGGGGCTTCTCTAGAAAAAGTCAACAAAGCATAACTTACTTCATAAATCTGAGATAATCTGCCAGTTCTGGGATGTGCATAATATCAGCAGGAGTCGAGGCCACATGAGATCCTTCCAAGGATATCTGTAGTTCATTCAAGGCACGATCAATATCATCCTCATTTCCACTGTTCATGTCAGGCTGTGGTTGATTCACTTGAAGGGTAACTTGAAGCTAAAAATCAAGAAAATGGCAAGCATTGACAAATAAAAAACAATAAATATGGATGACAAACATCGCTAACAAGCAAATAATACCTGAAAAACCATATTCATTGAGGTGTTTGCCAATATACAAGAGAAATATCTAAAACTACAGTCGGATTTTGAGTAGGCGCCTGTAATCTACTTGCATCAGACCAGAGTGTTGAATTTTATGTAAACTGCACCCTCAAAAAATCAAGATAATTTTTTCCAAAACCATTTCAAATTTGCATGAAATCTAAATATCATATAGATAACTATTATGCACATAAAATACAAATTTCCCTTTTTTTGTAGCACATGCTAGTCCTTATAACTGAAAAGTAGCAAATTGCTGTTATAGTACAGTACTGTGTTATACTGTCTGTTGAACTTGTGTAGTTATCATGAATGAGCCTTGAAGTCCTCAATGTCCACGCCTAGTGCCATCCTTTCACCTACAGACTGTAACCGTACACCACTAACAGCCAACCCCAGGCTACACTACAGCATATCATTGGTAAACAGCATCATTCAACCCATCATTTTTATATGGTTTCAATGTTTTTACATTATCTTTTTCCACTACTGCTCTCTATTTCATTCACAAACTATGTAAGATATTGCTTTTTATCAGATAAAGTACTAATACTGTGTTATGTTCCTTATTCAACCACCTGCTTCTCCAACCATGATCACGTTACTCTAATAACTCGGGACTTCTCTTCCATGGTAAGGACGTTCTTAAGTACCCATACTACTCTTGCCAGACAACATGGCTTCAACTAACAAATGATATCACTTGCCAAGTAAACAGTAATGCTATTAAAACCTATTTACAAAGAATTACAATAGGTTCTTGTACCAGATGGACTCTCAGAAATATTAATTTTAAGTGTATTATTTTCATTACTATTATTGGTTTTATTATTATTACTGTATTATTATTATTACAATAATATTACTATATTTACTTTATTTTTACATTAATTTTTTAATTTTTAATGTTCATTTTCTGTCCATTAATATTCAATAATTATTCATTTGTGATTTAAATTCATCTGGATGAAATTAGATTTTATTCATATTGCATGAAAATAATGAAGCCTTTACCCAACTCATCAAATAATGAAGATATACTAACCTGAAGGGCAGCAAACATGAGCATCTCTTCTTCAGTACAATCAATTTCTTCATTCATAATTGCCCATTTGGCCTGCTCAAAGATGAGGTTAATGCGGACTGCATCGTATTTTGGATTTAAATCATAAAAGGAGAAAAACTTGAAACGAAGTAGAAGTGTGTCAAAATCTCTCACACCTTGTTCCATTATTGACAGCGATGAGTCAAGCCATCTGAAAATGAATAAAAGAGAATAGAGAAAGAGAATATGAATATTAGAAAAGTAGCGGGGAAAATAAGGACCTATGATAGAGAAATGAAGATAAATAATAGATAATAAAATTATCATTATGGGCGAGAAATTGTTTAAAACGGCAGTAAAATATTTTGAATGAAGCAGCAGCATCTTTTATATGTAAGCTGTATTATTTATATAAATACAATGAATATATTGTTTTAAGTCTAATTTAGGCATCAGTTATGTTTATGATCTTAATAACAATGTTATAAATTAATTCCAAAAGTCAGAAAAGAAATGTCTACCTATCAATAGAGTATTTAAGAATTTGTTAAGAAATTCAGGTTTCTTAACAGGGTGACATTATATATCCTTCAAATTCAAACTTTTGCAAATTCTAAAATGCAAAACACTTAAAAGAAGCACTACAAACTGCTTAAGAATTGTACAAACTGAGATTGTTATCACAAGAATGAAGACAAAAATGAAGCAAGAAATGATATAAAACACATTATAATAAACAAAACAGAATGAAAATATGTTGGTAAATATCAAAATGGTACAAAAAACCAATACAAAACAATATTACTAAACATTCTATTATCACTTACCCAACATTTATACGTGCTCTTTCAAGGAGAGACTTGGGTCGTAAAAGAGAGTTTCGTGCCTCTTCAGAAGGAAGCATTGGAGAGTTGGCAAGAGATGAACTTAAATCATCAGCACCATCAATGCTATCCATGGTGCTGTTGTGACTGCCCACCCCATTATTGCTGTTGAATCTCCATGTTCCACCCTGTGAATAATGTAAATTTCTGAATGTTCATAGAATAGTAGTAACTTTTGAGTTGAGCACTAACTGATACTTCTAACCCGCCAAACACACACCAAAACTACAACATTGGTACAGCATTCGAACAAGTTTTAACACCTCCTAACCAGTTATAACAACCAATATAGTAAGTTGTAACAACGTTCTAATACGTCATAAACACGTTAAGCCAAGATGTAACAACTTTATTACAAGTTGTAACAAGCGGAAAATAGAGACAGTTTCGGTTTGTGTTTCCAGGGAATGCATCTCTACATGTACATTTTAAATGTTGCCCAGATGCTAGTCTCTGGACTAGCTATACTGGCTATATGGGGTTAAACATCCAGGAACCAGGTACATTATGTTATTTAAAGTGTGTTGCCTAACAGCATGGAAATGAAGGGCGGTATAATACTCATACTATACACTGTTATACTGTGCTGCCAAAATTCTGCTAGAAATGGGTAATATGTCTTTGTTACCTAGAAACCAACATAAGGGTGTTGGGACATTTGGATGTGCAAAGAAACTGTGGAGGCTGCTATTTTTGTTAATATCTTAAGTATTACATGTATGGCAGCCACTCCAGTGTCATCTTAATGAACATTCTCATACACAAAGAAATCACATTAATGTGATGTTATTATATGAACATAATAATCCTTTTGCGCCTGCTTTTTTGGAGTCATTTTTTTAAGGTGGTTTGGTCTAGAATTTCTCCCATGGTTTGTCACGATAGACCTTTTTGGGTGTCAGTTGCCGGGTTTCTTGCATTCCCAGTTGGCTCCATACTCATCCTTCTCTGGCTGGTCTTGGTGCAAGGCAGCCCCTTTTCACCCCCATGCTACAGTGTTGAGGGCAGTTCGCCCGGTTTGTCCTTTTGTTATTCCGCTTTTGGGGCTTCTCGAATGCCATTGTTCTGCAGTGAGGTTGGCTGCCCCTTTTTGGGGACTCCAGACATTCCAGGCAGGCTTCTTTCATTCTCCAGTTTGTTCTGGTGTTGATAACAGCAAGTTTCTGTGCATTTCCCGGTTTTCTTTGCATTCTGTCCTTTGGCTCATTGGTCTTCTGTCCTTTGTGACTCACCCAGTTTTCTTCTTGTCCCCTTCTAACTGCCTGCCTCGCCAGTGGTCTGTCTCCATCTTGGGCTGGATTCTTGTGGATTCCTGGACCTCTGGGTTGTGCCTCATCTCATCCCATTCTTTCAGGGTTCTGGGTTTCCTTCCTCTTGGTGTGGGGTGTGTGTGTCTGGCCTTTTCAAAAAGTTTCCCATTGGTTTTGCTTTGGCTCGTTACGTGTACGCAAGTTTGATTCGGGTTGCAGTGGCTCATTGTCATGTGTTGGCCTACCTCAATGACTGGCCTCAATGGCTTTTGTTCACCTATGACTGGTCTCCATGCCTGCTGGTTGTGATTCAGAGTTTTTCTGCTTGCAGGTTTGGGTTCCAGTTGGGCTTTCGATTCCGTCTTGGTGAACCTCGTTCGGTTGCATATTGACTTCCCCTTTTTTTGGGTGGCATTCTCCTGGCTGCTGCTCTGCCTGTGTGAGTGTTGGGTCAGCCCCAGGAGCCTTGGGGGTCACTTGGGCACTTGCATGGGTGACTGCACTTTGTCCTACTGATGTTTCACTTGACTTTACCGACACCGCACTCGAGTGGGGTGGACTCTGTCGGCCTTTGCTGGCTGCTTTGTTGCCGGTTTCCACTTTGGGCTTTCTGGGTTTTTGTTCCTGGGTGCTTTCCCGTATGCTGGTGGCTTAGGTTGCAGTAGTGTGGCTTGTGTTGTGTTTAGGAGTTTTCCCAGGTGGCTTGTTCTTATGGGGTTCACATTGGCCTTTGCTCTTGGGACTGGGTGCTGTGTGTTTCCTTTTGTTGAGTTCTCTGGGTTTTGCCAGCTGTGCCATTTTTTCCTGATGGTTCCTTTGTGGTCGATTTGTCCTAGTTCTTGTGTTCTCTCAGGGTGGCCTTTTTGGGCCTCCTCTTTCTGTGGTTGTATGTGTTTAGGCACCCAGGCCTGGTTTTTTCTGTGACAGTGTCTCCATCCTCCTGTTGCAGGGCTCTTGCATGGGTGGGTGCCTTTGGCTGGTTTAGTTTGGGGGGTGGGTTCTGTGGGTTTTTTCCCATGCTGGCTGAGGTCTCTGTCCCTAGCCGGGTGAGGCCTGCCTCTAGGATTTTTCCCAGATCCCTGTTGGCCATCTCTGCTTTGGTTCAGATACTTCTTGGTTCCGTACCTAGACGTTGCCATGGCTCTGTCTCTTGAGGGGTTGGGCCAATAAGGTTTTCACCGGTTCTTACTTTCCTTTCACTCTTTGCATCTGATCTTTGACACATTTTCTCGTCATATCTGCAAGAATTCGGTGGTTTCATTCCTTGAAGGTATCTCACCTGCAGTTTTCTTCAGTGATGGTATGGTGGAGTTTTTTGGAATTTTTTGTCAATTCCTTCTCTGTTCTTCAGTGTCTGGGCATGTGGCGCTCTCCTTTCTGTCTTTTCTTCTTGTTCAGTATCTCTTGCCATGTGCTGGCAACTTATGTTGTGCAACATTGGCTAGACTGCCTCTCAAGGAATCAGGCATTGTTGCATCATTCATAGAACTGAGGATGGAGTAGCTGGCTGACCTTGAGCTGCCTCCTCCTCCCTCCTCCATCAAGTGGTATGGTGGGGTGGGGATGAACAAGCTTGTGCTAGTTTCATTGACTTTCAACCATTTGTTTACATAGGGGAGTTATTCTAGCAGTTCTCGAGGCTGTGCTTTCGTTTAAAGCCAGCGGTGGTTTCTTTTGTCTTGCTGACTTTCTGGGTGCCTTTCCCGATGGTGGCACAAACAAATAATTTGATATATAAATGCCACAGCTCTCTGCTCCTCAGTGAGGTTGCCAGGTTCTGGCTCTGGTCTCCGGTAGGCCATAGAACTCCATGATTGATGTAATCTAGAAGTATAGACACTAATCAGAGATAGCAGCTTCAGGGTGCCACCAGGGATCACCAAAAAATTATCTTTTCATTACTTCCAACACTCGGTTTTTGTTGTGGTTGTTTCTTGATCGGCATCTTATGCCTAATACTGTTCACTTATTGTTTGGTCTTAGTGGAGCCGCTGTTGCCCATGTTGCCCATGTTCCACATGTTGTCTCAAGTATTTTTTCACTTCCAGTCTACATTTATGCTCTCCCTGAGCTGTCCTGGTTACTCAACAGAGTCCTGGCTTTTCTTTACATCCCGTTCCATCTTCCCCTTTGGTCCGGGATGCCTTTCTTCAAGTGGCATCACAGATCATACGGCCCTAGCTTCCTGCTGTTGGGTTGGGGAGCATCATGCTCTCCTCCGTAGAGAAAAGAGCATGGAGGGTTTTCATTTTCTTCGTCTGCAGCCTCCTTTTCTAGTGACGAATGAGTAGGTGCGCTTCTGGCATGGTCCTTTGGTGATTGATAATTGGTTGGCTACCTGCCTTATACCTGCTTGATGGGGTTCTGGGAGTTCTTCTGCTCCTCAAACCCAGCCTGAGGCCAGACTTAAACTTGTGAGAGTTTGGTCCACTAGGCTGTTGCTTGGAGTGGCTCGCAGACCCACATATCCACCACAGCCCGGTTGGTCTGGCACTCTTTGGAGAAAATTATCAAGTTTTCTCTTGAAGATGTCTACGGTTGTTCCGGCAATATTTCTTATGCTCGTTGGGAGGACGTTGAACAACTGTGGGCCTCTGATATTTATATAGTGTTCTCTGATTGTGCCTAAGGCACCCCTACTCTTCACTGGTTCTATTCTGCATTTTCTTCCATATCGTTCACTCCAGTATGTTGTTATTTTACTGTGTAGATTTGGGACCTGGCCCTCCAGTATTTTCCACGTGTATATTATTTGACATCTCTCTCATCTTCTTTCTAGTGAGTACATTTGGAGAGCCTTGAGATGGAGCTCAGGCTGTGCTAGAAGTTGTACATCATTTGATATATCCAGTGACAGCTCTTTACTGTTACCGTTGTGCCACTGATTCTACCTTGGTGGATGCTTTGTTGGTTGATCCTGGTTCCTTGGTCTCCTGTTCCATGGCTTACATTTCTCAGGTTATCTACAGTGTTAGTAAATCTAGCCAGCCTAAGTCTACCCATCACACCCATGATGTTCACGAATACATTGCACAACCATTGGTGGTGTTTTCTAACATGTCCTGGGTTGATATTCAGATACGATGATTTTGACATTCTAACAGGCTCTTGATGGCCCAATATTTGGTTATGTCCCTGGGCCTAGTCATAATGTCCTTGTGTTGCTTTGGACCTTGTTTCCCAGCCTCGTGTGTGTACTTCACCTTAATACTTGCTATCTCTCCTCCCTAGTAAGTCCTTTATTTCTCTTCTCCATGGTTGGTTAGCTTCAGGGAGCCACCAACAGAATCTTTCAGAAAGCCAGCATTGCATGTAATGAAATGCCTCTTTCTGCTAAAGCCCTGGTAGCTCCCTAAAAATCCTTCCTCCCTTCCAGGTAGTTGGAGGGGTGTTAGAACCTCACAGAACCCCTTGGGAGGTTCATCTACTCCAGAATTGACTTGGGAGAGTTGACAGAGAGCCAGAGTTCCAGGCTCCTGGTGCTGGTATGTTGGTACAAAGGGCTTGAGCTACTGTGAAGTAATTTGGGCATTTCATCCGAATCATTTCAGGGAGTTGTTTGGAATCAATTTTTGTAAACCTTGCACTGTTTGCAATGCTTCGCTGACTTTGAATGCTTTTCTAGTGGGATAGTGCAGTGTCACTTGCTCTCTGCACCTCTGCGAGTGGGGAGGGGGGGTAGGTTTTGGGCTTGATCCCCAGTAGGCCAAACACAGCTTCCACAACTGATGCAACCTAATAAATAGGAGCAATCTCAAGAGAAATAGCTTCTGGAAGCCACTGGGGCCCTACCAGAAAGAGGCATTTCATTACATTCAATGCTAGTTTTTACCAAGGCTTGTGGGTGGGTCTTCCTTGGCTTTAGATACTCTCTGATCCCCAAGCTTACATGGCCTCATAAAGCGAGCCAGATTTTGGTAAACAAAGATGGGACTCAGGGAATCTGGAGTGTTCAGCAAAGGCTTGGCAGTACCAGCATACAAGCTTGGAGAACTACTTCATGAGTCCTTGCCAGAAAAAAAACAGAACTGAAAATGAACCTTATACACTATGTGGGATATTGCAGCAGAGAGGTATAAGAAATCAAATTGAAACTATTATTATATTGGGAAGAATACAACCCAGACACCAAACAGAATTAAAATTATTACAATGAAGTGTGCATTACTAAATATTATAATGTGTATATGAATGAAACTATTAGAAAGAAAAACCCCATGACTTATGGAAACAGTTGAGATTACATTGAATTTTTAAAAACCATGGAAACTTTAACTATCAATTAACATTTCTTCCTAGGTCTGGGTACTTAAGAGCTATGATGTTACCGGAGAGCTTATAGGAGTCTTGTTGGGCGAGTGGTGTGATGCTGCTGTGCGATCTAAGGAACCATTACTGGAGGTGTGGCTCTTGTTGGCAATGAATGAATTTGTATCAGCTGGTGTGCCATTCTTAACAGTAGTACTGCTCTTCTTCTTCATTTGTTTTTCACTGTAATTGTGCTTGAGGTCGTCATGACTCAGGGGCTTACAGAAAGACAGCTCCTCTGGATACCGAATACCTGTCATGCAGTCAAAATATGTATGTATAAGCAGACAAAATTCTCAATCCATATTTACATAAATTGCATTGGGAACCAAACTATTTAGGCAAATTCAAATTTGATTAGAGGGCCAGACGAACTCGGCAGATGATCAGTACTTGCACCAAATGTCATCTTGCCCAATAAAACAACACTTATAAAGATGTCACTTCAGTTTGCATACTGCTGTATATAATCTTTGCGAATTACAAAATGGTAACTTTTGAATTACAGTACTGTATTTACATAACCTGTTAACCAATAAATCCATCTATTTGTATTTTGTGGAAAGCATACCTTAAAAATAGGTCAGTTTAAGAGCAATGCAGCTCATTTAAGAGTTGACAAAATAAAATTCAGATACTGTAATTACAGGTATTATTTAGCAGGCATCACTGAACTCGTGAGAGTTCAGTGATTAGTGAGGCGCTTACAAAAATGTTAATATTAAGGAGAATATTAACAACTTCACATTCTAAGTTAAAGAGTAAGGATTAGCTATGAAGATTGCTATATTCTAGCTCAACATAGATACCCATGTCATGAACAAATATACAAATTACATCAGACCTATAAAGGAAAACAAGTACTGTAAGTATTGTACAATATTTTACAATTTTTAAACAAATTAAAATCTTACCAAGTTCTTTACAGAGCTGAACTACAGCATTGAATGTCTTCTTGGAAAAATCAACCCTAAAGTCCATGTACCGAAGGTCAGGAAGCTGGACACGAAGGGTTTTGTGCATAGGTGTGAACTCCAACTGAGCTGCAGCACCCACCCCATACTGGTCCAGGGTGGAGCGTGTGTGTGTTAGCCACATATTTTTCTTTGGCCACCATAGTGCGTGATCTGACCAATCGATGGCAATATCTGCAAAAAACAAATTAAGAATTTGGTACTGTGCTCAATACAAGGTTCTGAATAGAAGTTTTCTCTATATTTTTTACAAAGAACAAAAAAATATTATATGCTATGCATGTGTATTTATTTATTAGTGCCTGCAGGGTTGAGCTTCAGCTCTTAAGATCATGTTACTTGCAATTACTCAGTCATCTAAGACAATGACCCTCCCCTCACTTACTTGCCTATCTCCTATCACTTCTACTTTTAAAATTTTGGATGGCATTAGCCTCTACTACCACCTTATCTACTTCATTTCATTTTCTACTACAGTACTTTTACATTAGAGGCATATTTTATCACATCTCTGTGACCCACTTGCCTCTCTGGACCTAACTTCCATTCACGCCTATTTATTTTTATTCTTACTGCAAATATTTCCTCCTTTTCCAACTGTCATTCCCCCTAAGTATTTTATGCATCACAATCATGTTCCTCCTACCCCCTCTCTTACTTCTCTCTCCTCTATTTTAACATTGTCAGGTCCAGCTTGTTCAATTTTTCTTCATATTATATCCTGTGTATTTCATGGGTGAAGCTCACCAAACTTCTGTATGTTTCAAGTTTCCTTTTGTATTTTTACAAGGTGGGGACCCCGTGCCAGAGTTGTACATTCTATTATTTGTATGTAACTCCCATTCTGTAGGATAGTTTCTTTCCTTGCTCGTATGTCTCTGTTTTTATTTTAAATGTTTTCTTCTTGTCACTTAAAAGTTCTACTTTATAATCAAAGACCAGAACATATTGACCATTGGTCTTAGTGGAATATTTGCGCTCCATGTACATTTTCCTCTGTGTTAATGTTTACATGTTGTGCTAAGAACTGGGCTGGATGGTAGAGCGACGGTCTCGCTTCATGCAGGTCGGCGTTCAATCCCCGACCATCCAAGTGGTTGGACACTATTCCTTCTCCCCGTCCCATCCCAAATCCTTATCCTGACCCTTCCAAGTGCTATATACAGTAGTCGTAATGGCTTGGCGCTTCTCCTGATAATTCCCTTCCCTTCCGTTAATTTTCCAACCATATATATCTATCTCAAAGTGGGAGTTCCAAGAATCCTAGTCTATTTCCTCAATTTGTGTGCTGCTGCTGCTGTTTTTTATAATATCTATGCTTGCATGCTTTGTTGGTGTTTTAATATTACTTACTGTCTGCATCTTCTGTTGTTTGAGTGGGATTGTATATTGGCACAATTACAGTACAATCTTATCTCCATCTGCTGTTAAGACTCCCGTAATGTCAAGTCTGTGTATTTGTTTGTGTTCTCGTCATGTTCCTAAAATATTCAGTTCCTTTTGATAAGGAGTGTTACTTCCCTCTCTGTCCTTTGTTTCCTTTCTTCCCTCATTATGTGCTACCGGTATTCCCATGGAAATTTGCATTTGACATCACTTTAGTAATTTTGATAACCACCTCAACTATCACACCCTGTTATTTTTCATTTATTCCTTCTATTATTTCATCTGCTTTGTGACTCCATTGACACTGATATACCAGATATTAATAAGAAGATACTTTGGCCTCAGTCATGGTATTACAAAGTTTAGGTTATTCAATGCCACAGAATTAGCTCTAAATATCCAATTATTTATGTATGAAAATCAGGATTAGCCTTGCCACCTGATATACCGCCATTCTCAATGTTTCCTCACTGACATTTAAGGCACATACTTTCTAACACTTCCAGTTTTGCTGTCTCCCTGTCATGTTTGGGACTATTGTTTTTCAGTTGCTCTGAATAACGGTTGTATACTCACCTAGTTGTGCTTGCGGAGGTTGAGCTCTGGCTCTTTAGGCCCGCCTCTCAACTGTCAATCAATCAAGAGATTCCATCCCCCCTCACACACACACCCCTAGGAAGCAGCCTGTAGCAGCTGTAACTCCCAGGTACATATTTATTGCTAGGTGAACAGGAGCATCAGGGTGAAAAAAACTGCCCATCTGTTTCCTCCTCCGCCGGGGATCACTTCACGGACTCTAGGACTACGAATCCCGAGCGCTGTCCACTCAGCCATCAGGCCCCCTGACGGCTGTGTTTGTGTGGTGGTGATAATGAGACAAGTACATTTCACCACTGTCATTGCAGCCCGTTTCTCAGGACGTGACAAACGTACAATATGTATACTTTAATGTAACAGTGTGCCTATTTTACCAAAAGGTAAGTCTGCTAATTCCTATTAGTACAATGTGTATTCATTACTTCAAAAGCTTTTATATATCACAAGAACATTAAATTGACATCCCCTCACTTGCATATACAATGCATTAGGAGAACAAATAATTGTCACTCTTGTGTGTGTGAGATAGAGGAGTGTGTGAGGCAGGAAATCAAAAGGACGAGAGACGTAGAGGAGTACTGTGTGAGGCAGGATAATGGTGATTGTATGATCTGTTGGGGTGTGTAAAAGAATTTCTCTTATCCTTCCTATTAAATGGGATGGAGGGACGAGAGACGTGGTATAAGAGATACAATATAGAGATACTGGGAATAGCAACTTGACTTGGCTAGAGCCTGGATACACTGGTGATTGTATGATCTGTTGGGTGGTAGCTCTAGCAGGAACTTTACTGAATTTCTCATTAAATGGGATGGAGGGACGTGTCATGGGGAGGGGTAGAGGGGGGGACGTGTCAAGGGGGGGTAGAGGGGGGGACGTGTCAAGGGGGGGTAGAGGGGGGGGACGTGTCAGGGAGGGTAGAGGGGGGGACGTGTCAGGGAGGGGAGTAGAGGGGGGGACGTGTCAGGGGGGGTAGAGGGGGGGGGACGTGTCAGGGGGGGGGTAGAGAGGGGGGGACATGTCAGGGGGGGGTAGAGAGGGGGACGTGTCAGGGGGGGGGGTAGGGGGGGGACGTAGAGAGGGGGACGTGTCAGGGGGGGGGGACGTAGAGAGGGGGACGTGTCAGGGGGGGGTAGAGAGGGGGACGTGTCAGGGGGGGTAGAGGGGGGGGACGTGTCAGGGGGGTAGAGGGGGGGGGTAGACGTGTCAGGGGGGTAGAGGGGGACGTGTCAGGGGGGTAGAGGGGGAAACGTGTCAGGGGGGGTAGAGGGGGGGGACGTGTCAAAGGGGGGGTAGAGGGGGGACGTGTCAGGGGGGTAGAGAGGGGGATGTGTCACGGGGGTAGAGAGAGGGGGGTAGAGAGGGGGATGTGTCACGGGGGGTAGAGAGGGGGGGGGTAGAGAGGGGGACGTGTCAAGGGGGGGTAGAGAGGGGGACGTGTCAAGGGGGGGTAGAGAGGGGGACGTGTCAAGGGGGGGGGTAGAGGGGGACGTGTCAGGGGGGGTAGAGAGGGGGATGTGTCACGGGGGGTAGAGAGGGGGATGTGTCACGGGGGTAGAGAGGGGGGGGTAGAGAGGGGGATGTGTCACGGGGGGTAGAGAGGGGGGTAGAGAGGGGGACGTGTCAAGGGGGGGTAGAGAGGGGGACGTGTCAAGGGGGGGTAGAGAGGGGGACGTGTCAAGGGGGGGTAGAGGGGGACGTGTCAGGGGGGTAGAGGGGGACGTGTCAGGGGGGTAGAGGGGGACGTGTCAGGGGGGTAGAGGGGGGACGTGTCAGGGGGGGGGTAGAGGGGGGACGTGTCAGGGGGGTAGAGGGGGGACGTGTCAGGGGGGTAGAGGGGGACGTGTCAGGGGGGTAGAGGGGGGACGTGTCAGGGGGGGTAGAGGGGGGACGTGTCAGGGGGGTAGAGGGGGACGTGTCAGGGGGGGTAGAGGGGGACGTGTCAGGGGGGTAGAGGGGGACGTGTCAGGGGGGAGGGGGACGTGTCAGGGGGGTAGAGGGGGACGTGTCAGGGGGGTAGAGGGGGGACGTGTCAGGGGGGTAGAGGGGGGACGTGTCAGGGGGGGTAGAGGGGGACGTGTCAGGGGGGTAGAGGGGGGAGTGTCAGGGGGTAGAGGGGGACGTGTCAGGGGGGTAGAGGGGGGACGTGTCAGGGGGGGTAGAGGGGGGACGTGTCAGGGGGGGTAGAGGGGGACGTGTCAGGGGGGGTTAGAGGGGGACGTGTCAGGGGGGGTAGAGGGGGACGTGTCAGGGGGGGGACGTGTCAAGGGGGGTTAGAGGGGGGGACGTGTCAAGGGGGGTTAGAGGGGGGGACGTGTCAAGGGGGGTTAGAGGGGGGGGACGTGTCAAGGGGGGTTAGAGGGGGGGACGTGTCAGGGGGGATAGAGGGGGGGACGTGTCAGGGGGGGGTAGAGGGGGGGGGACGTGTCAGGGGGGGGGGGTAGAGGGGGGGGGACGTGTCAAGGGGGGGACGTGTCAGGGGGGGGGACGTGTCAGGGGGGGGGACGTGTCAGGGGGGGGGAGGTGAGAGGGATGGATGTGACAGGAAGAGGGAGGGAGGGGATAGATGTTTCTGGGAGAAGGAAGGCGGTGTCGGGGAGGGAAGGATGTGTCATGATGCGGAAGGATAACTTACTCAAGGAAGAGACCAGAAAACAAAAGGCTGGCATACCGAAAGGGAAAACAACAAGGAGGTAAGACAATTCCCAAAAGATATATCATGTGTAACAAAGTGTGGCCTATTTTCTCCGATTTCACGTTCCATAACATTGAATTTCATTCAATGTGAATAAATGTATATCTTCTATATTCCCTCTGGATCAATGGAGGGCCATCGAACAACCATATGCTTGAAGTGTAATTCGCAAACAGAGTGGTAGACGGTTGGAACAAGTTAGGTGAGAAGGTGGTGGAGGCCAAGACCGTCAGTAGTTTCAAAGCGTTATATGACAAAGAGTGCTGGGAAGACGGGACACCACAAGCGTAGCTTTCATCCTGTAACTACACTTAGGTAATTACCTGTGTGTTGATTACTGGCGTCAACTTTCAGACGAACACGGCCTCAAGTGTACGGAGTTTCCCTCAATAATTGGTGCAGGTGATTATTGTGGCGTCCTCCACTGTCTTGGCAAATCAGGATGGTATTGTAGTGTTGAGAGTGATGCTGCTTAATACTTTCTCCGTGCTAAGGC